GGATATATTGAACAAAGAGTGTGGAAGATGAAGCTGCCAGGCAGGAGGAAAATGAGAAGATCACAGAGCAGGTTCATTGATGTAGTGAAGAACTGGCAAAAGGCTGGTGAGATGGAGGCAGATGATCCAGTGTGGTGACCCCTAAATTAAACAGGCAAAAGAAGAATATTTTTCATCATTTTGGCATAAAAACTTGTTGCCATCTTGTAAATAAAGGACCAGAGTACACTGTTTTGATATACTGAAAAATATAAATTCATGTCATAGGATTTTAATTAAATGAAATTAAATGTGATATGTGCTTCTTTGTTGCAGTCTTTTGATAAACTACAAATTTTGACATCCTATTTGAGAGGAGTCCATTTTTATTGCATATGGTGTGGGACCACCTATAATGGTAAGTGTGATATCAATCGGCTACAGCATTATTTGTTTATTTGTTTATTTGTTTGTATCACCATTGCTCCTACTGCATCTATGTAATGTTTTCTTTTCTGTTTTACAGATGAAGAGGACTTGAGCTCTAATTGTCCTGGAGATACAGCAGCAGACCATGAATGAATACAATCAAAACTAGTGTCACAAGCTTACAGTTGGTGTCTTTTGTTTTGTTTTTTGTTTTTTTAAAGTTAAAAATGTTTGATCTTGAAAACATTAGGTCTGTGTGAGTGGGGAAAAAGAATTTTGGTATGTGCTCATCAGAATACAAGAAGCAGCCAAGGAAATAAAGTGATCAGAGCTGAAATGCCGGGGTTTTTTTCTATCATCCAGTTTTAATCTGCTGTCCATCAATGAAAGATCATCAGGTTTTTATTTGTTTGATACAGTCTTTGGGGTGGGTTTGTTGTTTGTTCCATAAATTAGGATGCCTTTCAATATTTATATTTTGTAAAGTTGAATACAAATTGTATTACATATTTCAAGATTATTGGTGTACATCTGTCTTCATTAAACGTTTTACGTTTTACTCTTCTCTCTATTGCAATTTTGAGTTTGCTTATATTTTATGATTAGTTGTGAGTTTATATCAGCCATACTTGTTTTCATCACTACTACTTTGAAAGGCTCCAACAGGGCATTTTAATGTCTTAAATGTTAATTAATATTTGGTTAATATGGTTGGGATAAAAGGACATCTGCGCCTTTTGGGGCATAAAGTTGCTGCAACGTGTTTGTTTCTTAAGAACTGCATCTCCCGTGAACCTTAGCGATGGAATTGAGTGACTAATACAGTGGGACATGTAGTCTTCGTTGATAAGCTACGTAAACGGGAACAGAAAACGCAAGCATATGTTACTGAAGTTAAAATGTCGAGCTTTAACATTAGCTACGCTACAAAAAAGTCTCATAATGACAAATCTAACAGCTACTCAGCAAAAACAACATAATTTCTGCTCACGGTTTTTCCATACTTTAACTTTCCCTGGTGTTGCGCTTTATTTAGATATCTTCCACCTCATCCAACCAGTTTCAAACCATTAAAAATATGATAATGATGATGATGTTATAGAAAAACTGCTTTAATGAACAAATTGTGTCTGCCATATCTGACATCACGTGAAGGCACCGTATGACGTTAACAGTAGTGATGGGATTTCCGGCTCTTTTTAGAGATCAGGCTCTTTCGGTTCGACTCACTAAAAAGAGCCGGCTCTTTCGGCTCCGAACCGGCTCTTCAGGTTGTTTTGTTGCTTTAATTAATTTATTATTAACAATAATATTAAATTATGCACAAAAGGAATTACTAACGTAAAAAAAAAGTGGTTTTATTTATATATGTTTATATATAAATATATGTGGTGGCCTCTAGAGACAAAATATGCACAAACACCAAAACACATTTCTAGCATGAACTGAACTTCCAAAGCAGAGCTACTAGATCACTTAAATTACACAATTGAAAGCATGTGTGTATTGTTTGTGTATTTATACACAGGCACTCATATATATTCAAATAATTTAAAAACAATGTTCATTTACCTGTTACTACCACACACCAAATCCGGTTGTTGGTACTTGCTGGCTTGTGTAGCCACTAGGTAACAAAAGCTCAACACTTCGCCTGTATTCTGGAGCACTTCTGTTGACTTTTGTACGTGTTTTGAGTTTTTATGTGCTTCGGAGTTTTTACGTGCTTCGGAGTTTGTACGTGTTTTTACATGTTTTGGAGTTTTTATGTGTTTTGGAGTTTGTACGTGTTTTTACGTGTTTTGGAGTTTGTACGTGCTTCAGGGTTTGTACGTGCTTCAGGGTTCGGCTCGCGTCGTTCACGTCAAAGAGTCGGCTCTAAGAGCCATTTCGTTCGCGAACGACCCATCACTAGTTTACAGAGAAAACGAAACTTACGGCGTGGAAAGGGAAAACGGAAACCATGTTTTATTATGAGAGTTGTAGCCTTTTCTCTATTTTTATGTATTTTGAGTAAATATTCCAACTGCCGACAAACATAGGATGGAAAACTACGTAGCTAACCTAAACGAGTATGCACAGAAGCAGCGGCTGGTGCTGCAGTTTGAGGAGGTTGGAGCTGCTGGCCCTGACCACATCAAAACGTAAGTTGAGCACAAGTCAGATCTGCGACCTGGAAAGCCGCTCACTGTAGGATTTGGAGACATCTGTGTGTTTTGGTTGGACTTTTTTCAATGAAAGTGTTGTCCGTACGTTGAAATCTAGGTTCCAGTCTGGTGATTACCATCCACCAGATGCACGTTTGTGGACGGTAGGTGTAGTCTACACGTTGTTTTTAGGACGTTTACTGTCCGCAGGTATGTTGATCCCGCGGCATTTTACTTGTGAGCTGTTTCTACAGATAAACTAACTATCACCCTGAGGAAATAGTAATATTTGCATAGTAATATGTGCCCATGTGCCACACAGATTAGAATCAGTGCATCAATCAGTCAATTAAAGTGTAAAAAGCATACCTATCCACAGAATCAAGATTGGGTAAGATTAAGATAACCTTTATTAGTCCCACACGTGGGAAATTTATACACCTGCAGAAGGCTGAAATGGGCTACAAGACCATCAGCAAGAAGCTTTGCTGTACAGGTGACAATTGTTGGTGTGATTATTCATAAATGGAAGAAATATAAAAATGATCATCAGTCACCCTCAGTCTGGAGCTGCATGCAAGATCTTGCCTCATGGGCAGAGGGCGATCATGAAAAAGGTGGTGGATCAGCCCAAAACTATCTTGTTAAAGATCTGAAAACAGTTTGAAGTAGAGTCACCAAGAA